GTTAACCACTTGCCCTCCTGAGGATTTACCCCCCTTAATGAACAGGCCTCTTTTTGCTACTCGGCGCTGCACTAATTCAACTGATAATTGCACGGTCATGCAATGCTGCACCCAAACAAAATTTACGTCCTTTTTTTCACACAAATGGAGCTTTCTCTCGGTGGTATTTGATCACCTGTCCGCTTTTTATTTTTCACGCAATAAACAAAAAAAGACCAAAAACTTTGAAGAAAAACAATATTTTTTACTTTCAGCTATAAAAAATATATAGTAAACTCAAAATTAGTTATAAATTTAGGCCAAAATGTATTCTGCTACATGTTTTTGGTAAAAAAATCCCAATAAGTGTATATTGATTGCTTTTTGTGAACGTTATAGCGTCTACAAACTATGGTATAGATCAGTGATGGCGAACCTTTTTGAGCCCGAGTGCCCAAACTGCAACCCAAAACCAACTTATTTCTTTCAAAGTGCCAACACTGCAATGAAACCTGAATATCGAGCTTTTGGTTTAGAAAAAAACAACTCGTACAGTAGTGCAAACTAATTAACAGTACAGGGATGACCAGAGACTGCGGACACAGTACAGGGATGACCAGAGACTGCGGACACAGTACAGGGATGACCAGAGACTGCGGACCAGAGACTGCGGACACAGTACAGGGATGACCAGAGACTGCGGACAGTACAGAGACAGGTATGAAGACTGCGGACACAGTACAGGAGATGACCAGAGACTGCGGACACAGGGATGACCAGAGACTGCGGACAGTACAGGGATGACCAGATGACCAGAGACTGCGGACACAGTACAGGGATGACCAGAGACTGCGGACACAGTACAGGGATGACCAGAGACTGCGGACACAGTACAGGGATGACCAGAGTACTGGGATGACCAGAGACTAGCGGACACAGTACAGGATGACCAGAGACTGCGGACACAGTACAGGGATGACCAGAGACTGAGTACACTGATGAGACCAGAGACTGCGGACACAGTACAGGATGACCAGAGACTGCGGACACAGTACAGGGATACAGAGATGACCAGAGACTGCGGACACAGTACAGGGATGACCAGAGACTGCGGACACAGTACAGGGATGACCAGAAGACTGCGGACACAGTACAGGGATGAGACCAGAGACTGCGGACACAGTACAGGGATGACCAGAGACTGCGGACACAGTACAGGAGATGACCAGAGACTGCGGACAGTACAGTACAGGGATGACCAGTGACTGCGGACAGTACAGGGATGACCAGAGACTGCGGACAGTACAGGGAAGACCAGAGACTGCGGACAGTATGACAGTACAGGGATGACCAGAGACTGCGGAAAGTACAGGAGATGACCAGAGACTGCGGACAACAGTAACAGATGACCAGAGACTGGCGGACAGCACAGGGATGACCAGAGACTGCGGACAGCACAGGGATGACCAGAGACTGCGGACAGCACAGGGAATGACCAGAGGATGACTGCGGACAGCCACTGCGGAGGGGATGACCAGAGACTGCGGACAGCACCAGAGATACACAGGGAATGGTACTGACCTTTGGGTACAGACAGGGGGACGAGCGGGTACCTGAATTTGACAGGTACCCGCTCTTCACGCGCAGAGTTTTTTTTTTATCTTACCTGTTCCTTTATCCAGCCGCGCGCTGTCTTCCCGGCTTCTGTAGTGTGGGCGCTCGTCGGACAGCCGGATGCCCAGTGCGCATGTGCGAGAATCGCTGCGCTTTGTGATTGGTCCGGCGGCTTCTGGGATCTGTCATGTGTCCCAGGTACCGCCTTACCATTCACAAAGAGCACTGCTTCTTGTGCATGCACACTTGGGACCCGGCTGTCACGCACACTACAGCCGGGAAGACAGCGCGCCGCTGGATTCTCCTGGCGTGCCCACAGATAAGGCCTCGGCGTGCCGGCTGTGGCACGCGTGCCACGGGTTCGCCATCACTGGTATAGATACTGCAATTTATGCCATATTTTTGCTATACAGTGCTGCGCTAGTTTAACGGACAATTGGGCGGTCATGCAATACAGTACATAAATGAAATTTATGTCCTTTTTTTCACACAAATAGAGCTTTCTTTCTGTGGTATTTGATCGCCTGAGCATTTTTTATTTTTTGCACTATAAAAAAAAGGCTGACAATTTTGAGAAAAAAAAACAATATTTTGTACTTTTTGCTATAAAACATGTCCAGTAAAAAAAATTTAAAAATCAAATTTCGTTATAAATTTCGGCCAAAATGCATTCTGCAACATGTCTTTGCTAAGAAAAAACCCAATACGTGTAAATTAATTGGTTTACGTGAAAGTCATATCGTTTACAAATGGCGGGAAAGATACTCGGATTTTAAATTTTTTTTATACTAATAATGGCGGCGATCAGCGACTTATGGCAGGACTGCGGCGGACATTCTGACACTGGGGGGGAACTGACTTAGGGTCACTGACATCCCAGTGACACCAATACAGTGATCAGTGCAAAAAAAAAAAACACTGGCACTGGGGAGGAAGGGGTTAACTTTTTTTGAACTGAAAGGGTTAACTGTGTGAGGGGAGTGTTTTACTAGGGGGCAGGGTGTGTACTGCAGGGAGACAAACTGATGGGACAGAGAAACTCTTTTCGCCTGGTCAGCTTGTCAGGAACTGTCAGGGAACTGACAGAAAGCAGAGCTACTGCAGCCCTCTCTGTCACTGATTGCCGCTAATCGCCGGGACACAGCTGATAATAACCGGCTGTGACCTGGCGACTGACACCCGTGGCTGAGATCGGCGCTGAAGGTAGGGCGGCGGCGCGCCTCGCGCGTGCCCCTACCTGTTTTGAAACAGCACGTTTTAAAATGTGCTTTTGCCCAGCCGTGCCGCCCTGCCACCGTTTTTATACAGTGGCTGGGCAGCTAGTGGTTAAGTTGCATTACTGAAATAAATGAACTTTTGCATGATATTCCAATTTTCTGAGTTTCACCTGCATGTGCTCCTACTATGGAGGCTCTGGAATTTTAGAATTAAGTCCAGTAAATACAGCTGGATAAAACGAAAACTGTGTCTGTCTTCATTTCAGGGTGCAAAGCAACAAAATGTGATTATTTTAAAGGGGGGTGGTTCTTTTCTATACCTACTCTATAAGCAGAAAAAACTAAAATTGGTATTTGTGGGACTTTTAGGGCACCAGTAGTACAATAGCTGACATGTTCCTGAAAGGTTCCTGCTTCTCTACATAAGATTCTATCTACTTTAATTATGTGCTCTACAATGTTGACACAATAATATGTCAGATTTTGACAGAAGATCACATGTGGAATAATATTCAGGGGTGGAGTAGTAGTCTGTATAACAAGGATGCAATATACACATAGTCAGCCTAGCCATAAAAGCAGTGGTCAAAAGAATTGCTGTCAGACCCACCAAAAGTAGACAGGGATGAGTCCTCCTCAAATGAAAACACTAAATGGTGTAATAGGCCCACATCTCCTGTTAACTTCACAAAAAGGATCATACAAAGTGGTAGGTAGCCACAGATATAAATTCCTTGTCATAAAATGGCGGCCATTAAAACTGCCTAAAATGCATAATTTTTGAGCCCATTTGACCTCTTTTCTGCATCTTTGATTGTTTTGCAGATGCTTGAAAATCAAAACTGTTTTTAGCCCGTGGTCTCAACTGTTTGACCTCCTGGGTTCAATAGCATGATCAATTTTAAATCCTATGCTCAACTGTTCATGCTATTTTTTGATCCTGGGCTCAACTGTTTGATCGATTTTTTTTTTTTTTTTTTTTTTTTTTTTTTTTTTTTTTTTTTTATCCAGGGCTCAACTATTCGATCAATGTTTTGATCCTGTACTCAACTGTTTGGTCCATTTTTAAATCTTGGGTTCAACTGTTCTTTCTATTTTTAAATAATGGGCTCAACAGTTCATTCTACTTTAAAATCCTGGGCTCAACTGTTTGACCTATTTTTAAATTCTGAGCTCAACTATTTGTTCTAGTTTTAGATCCTGAGCTTAAATGTTTGTTCTAGTTTTAGATCCTGGGCTCAACATTTCATTTTAGATTTAAAATCCTGGGTTCAACTGCTCGTTCTATTTTTAGATCCTGGGCTCAACTGCTCGTTCTATTTTTAGATCCTGGGCTCAACTGCTCGTTCTATTTTTAGATCCTGGGCTCAACTGCTCGTTCTATTTTTAAATCATGGGCTCAACTGCTGGTTCTATTTTTAGATCCCAGGCTCAACCGATCTTTTTTTTAAATCCTAGGCTCAACTGTTTTGTTCTATTTTTAAATCCTGGGTTCAAATGTTTGTTCTATTCTTAGATCCTGAGCTTAACCGTTTGATCCATTTTTTTGATCCATTTATTTGATTTTTGATTCTAGGCTCAACTGTTCCTTCAATTTTTAGACTAAATGTAAATGTTTAAATGTTGACTTTCAGAAAAAAACATACAAACAACAATTTCCTCCTGCAAGATAAGAGCATAATGTGATAGTATGCATCGCATAATAACACATTATGAAAGACTTGCCTTAAAACAAAGCCCAGCAATGATATGCTGTCACCGGTGACAGGGCTTCCATCTTCACCTGGTTTTCCTTTTTGGGTTTATGTGCTCCAGCTTTTTGAATGGCTGAGCCATGATAACATTACTCCCACACATGTACATAGGAGTCAAGGCTGCAGCATAGAGCTCTGAAGGGACAGCATGAGTATGCCATCCCTTCAGAACATATGCACCAATAATGTCACTGGCTGCAGAAACAGTGAATATCTCCTAAATGGTGCACGATTAGGAGATATTCCTTGTACACTCAGGTAAGTGTAATTATAAGCTTACCTGTAAGTGTCCAAGCAGTGTTTAATACTACTTTAAAAAACCACCTTTTGCTGAAAGGTTCAGACTTGCTAAGTAAAAAATATTCTGTTGCTCCCTAACTGCCCCTTAATAAAAAAAAAATACATATTTGCATTTTGATTTTTTTATTTCATACAGAAAAAGATGAGAAGATCAGCACATGCTCGAAAAGAAACAGAATTTCTTCGACTGAAAAGGACGCGGTTGGGGTTAGAGGACTTTGAATCTTTGAAAGTAATTGGAAGAGGAGCTTTTGGAGAGGTAAGGCTAGTTAGTTAACCCTTCCAAACACAACTAAAGAGTCTGTATTGCTGTCAGTGTTCCTGTGGGGCATTACTGCTCAGTTCCTCTCCCAGTTGATGAAAGTCACCAGAATGGAGGGGACAGTTTTGGATTGTGCATAGGGGCTCAAATGGAATCCTCTTTTCTGACACTTTGAAACACTAATCTATAGCCAAAAAAAAAGATTCAGTTGTCTTCTGCATTAAGGTTACTCTATCGTCAGTTAACCATTTCCATACAGGGCACTTTTACCCCCTTCCCTCCCAGACCATTTTTCAGGTCTCAGCGCTCTCAGACTTTGAATGACAATTGCGCGGTCATGCAACACTGTAAACAAAGTAAAATTTTATCATTTTATTCACACAACTAGAGCTTTCTTTTGGTGGTATTTAATCACCACTGGGGTTTTTATTTTTTGCTAAATTAACAAAAAAAGACCGAAAATTTTGGGAAAAAAAAAAAACAAGTTTTTCTTTGTTTCTGTTATAAAAGTTTGCAAATAAATAATTGTTCATAAATTTAGGCCAAAATGTATTCTGCTACATGTCTTTGGTGAAAATAACCCAAATTAGGATGTATTTTTTAGTTTGTAGGAAAGTTATAGAGTTCACAAACTATGGGATATATCTGAAAATTGATCAATCCTGAAGTACTGACAGCCAATCTAATTTCTTGAGGTCCAAGAATGTCAGAACAGTACAGATATCCCCCAAATGACCCCTTTTTGCAAAGTAGACAGTAATTTTCCCAATTTTTTATTAAATACTGTCACCAGTGCAGTACAGCATCATCATATAACTGGCATGGCGGTGATCAGGAACACTGACTGGTGACAGTATGAAAAAAAATAATTTTTTTTTTTAAAATTTTTTTTTATTTTTTTATTTTTTATTACTTTTTTTATTTTTTTAAGATTTTTTTTTCATATTTCACTTTGACCAAAGTAGTACAATGTTACCATAGTAACATTGTACTACTTTGGGGAAGTGATCATTTTTTTTTTTTTTTGTCTTTACACAGTTTGCTTATAGCAAAGAATTACTTTGCTATAAGCAAGCATTTACCTGAATGACATCGATTCATTCAGGGCTTTTTTTTTTTTTTTTTTTTTTTTGTGCTTAGCTGTGATTTGGCCACGGCTAATCACATGACACAGCTGGACTGTGATTGGCCAAGCTTGTGCATGTGATCGCTGTGACCATTCACAGCTAGGCACACTAGTATACAATGGATGGCATGAATGAAGCCATCCATTGTATACAACTGTCATGTGACCTGCTGTGATTGGTCACAGCAGGTCACATGGTCCCGGCAACGGGGCCGGTACTCAGATCTGTCATCGGCTGTGTCCGAGGTACGCGGCCGGTGACAGATCGTGCCGTTGTGCGGCTCTGCAGGCGCGCAAACTGCACATGCCCTGGAGGACGCCATATGGTGTCCACCCGGAATGCTGAAGGATTTTGTCGGCCGCCAAACGGTCATTGGCCAGGCGGCTAATGGTTAACAAAAACAGTTTTCCCACTATAGCGAAAACGATTGCTTATTCTGCTGCTTCTGCAACACAGGTGTTTGTTCTGTTGCAGAGCTACAGTGTCTGAAGAATCTTCAGTATCTGGTACTTCTGGGAGATTCAGATGCCTGATTCTCCTCCTTGTGCTTTGGTTTCATTCCCTTGCCCCTTCATCACTACAGGACTACAGTAATGATGTAGTAACTGGCAGCAGGAATCACACTGTGCAGCTGGGATCATGCAAAAGTTTTTTTCAGTCACCGTACCTTCATAACAAAGTAAAGATCGGTGGCAATGGCAGCTAAAAACAAACTTCCTATGTGGTCGCCATGTGGGGGAGGGAGGAAAACATGGACATGGGTGACAATAAAAGCAGTCTTTTAGTACATTAGGCAAGAGTTGGATAAGTTGTTTTGACCTTGACTCTAGGTAAATAATGCTCTACAAAAAAAAATAAAAATCCCTGTTTTTTATTTTCCTTTAGGTTCGGCTAGTTCAAAAGAAAGACACTGGCCATGTATATGCAATGAAAATTTTGCGGAAGGCAGACATGCTGGAGAAAGAACAGGTAGCCTTCTTCTAATTTTATGTATTTTAGAAACCTTTCTCCCTTTTACATTTGAAAAAGTATACTTGTTATGTTGGTGTTAAAAATATAGACAATATATTTACTGAAGATTCTGTGTTTTTGTTTTTTTTGCCAAATGCAACAGCAAACCTTTTGCTTTTTGTATTTTGCTCAGTAATGATGTATGTAGTTTCTCAACCATCTGTTGAGTATTTAAATGTCCTTCCTACATTTAAAGACTAGTTTATGCTAAACTCTTAACTACTTTAGTCTACCCTTTTCCTGCCTTTTTGTTTACCTACATTTCTCCCACTTGTGTTCAGATGGGTATATAAAATGTTTCTCTTTGCTATATACTTTGTAATATATACATACATATATGTGCAATGGTTAATGAAAATTGGTGCACAGATTTTCCTGGATGTTTGCTGAATAGCAATCCTAAGCACCAACAGTCTGAGGGAAGCTGTCACTGGGGCAGTTCAACTGACCAGTCAACCAATGCATATGGTGCTTAAATGTTCAGATAGTACCAAATAAAATTCAAAATAGTTCACCCAAGTCCACGTCCTTAGTATAAAAAATTGGTTACACACATTTAAAGATTGAGCTCAATCTGATAATGTAATCATAATGTAAATCTAAGCAATCCTTTGTTTTTCCGTTGGTAAAATGAGAGCTAGCTGCTCGTGTATTATTTGTTCTTGCCCTCTAAAACAGGGTCATGCAGAGCTTCCTTGCCCAATAAAAAGGTCCAAATGTGGTTTGACAATAGAGACGTGTGCAGAAGGCAGTCAGAGACTGAAAATATGAACATGATGCAAAAGACTTTTTGGAGGCCATTGTCTTTATAGTCCCTTTACAGATCAGTGCTCCCAATACCCACTATGACAATTTCCATCCACACATTTTATGTTCAATTACCAATATATGTTCTAAAAAAAGAAATCGGAGAAAAAGAAAATTGAAGTATCACAGAAAGGATGATAAATTATAAAATGAACAAACCAAACTATTAAGAAGCCAGTCTAGAAGTTTTGCTTTATTAGCCTGAGCTAATTTCTGTGAATACAGGTACTGTTGGATGGGCAACAGTGCGCATATGCTGGTACAGAGGGCATGTACCCTGACCTACTCATTTGCTCAAGGCCTGGAGAACAGTGAAGGGGTGGTCCTAGACTTTCACTACGTCACCAAGCCACAGTCCAGGACCACTTCTCATTCTACTAGGGTCATATGCGGATTATGTCTGAATAAGGAATGTCTGGACAGGGAAAATGCTGGCTGCTCGTTTCAAGTGCAATATAGTACTAAAGATTAGCAATTGGTCACCAAGGGTTTTAGAGCGAATCAACTATAGAACAAGTGATACACTCACTGTAGGGAACTTACAAAAAATGATTGAGATCTGTAAATGCCAGTTTAGATTTAGCAGCATCTGTCATTTGTGTATTTTATGTGTATTTGTGTATTTGTGTATTTTAGTTTGTTTAAAAAGTAACTCCACTTATATAGCTGTTTGCCTGTGTCCATGTGCAGAGTGAATCTGTATGGGAGTGGTTTTATAATTATAAATCTGCTGCTGCACCTGCAGGACCCTAATGAGAAAATTGGCATGGTCTGCATCCCTTTATACATGATTTACCTTTGGGATTATCTCACCAAAAATGACATTTTGTTGCAGGATATGGCAAATTGCTACTTGGGTTTGGTCATTGTGCTACCTTCTTGAGGAAGAAATCTATAATGAACTGGTTTGATATGTTATTTTTTAAGTCTCAATTTTATTTAGTAAATATTATTCTGTATTTTTGCTTCTAGGTTGGACACATTCGTGCAGAAAGAGATATTTTGGTAGAAGCAGACAGTCTATGGGTGGTAAAAATGTTTTATAGCTTTCAAGACAAACTGAACCTTTACCTGATCATGGAGTTCTTACCTGGAGGTACTTTGGATACATAATCATAGTTAACCGTTAGGCCCCTTTTACACTGGCTGTCCGTTCGGGTCCGCCTGTCAGTTTTTCAGGCCAACCTGATTGGATCATCCATAGCTCTCTATGGAGTGGTGGGAGTCTGCGGACATGTGTCCACTGACATCGACCGGCTTCCGATCCGATATGCTAAAAAACTGATCCATTCCCCATCCGTCTGGCGGATCAGATGACAGTCGGATGGAAACGGACAGGCAAACCGTTTCTATCCTACCACCCCATAGAGTAGAGTGGGCTGTGTCTGTGTCCAGTCTGCATAAAGGAGCAGAAACAGACCTGTCATCTGCCCGCTCAGCAGGGATCAGCAGTGAGATCCCCCGCTGAGCAGGCGGATCTGCTTGATGTAGTTTGCCATGTCTGAAAGGGGCCTTAAATAATAATAATTACATTTATACATTTTTTTATTTATATAAGATTTCAGGATACAAATCAAGAAAAACTAAAAACTGTGCAGCCTTTTATTCACATATTTGACCAGTAAGTTTGAGATTTGAACCGGTAAAAATATAAATACAATTTATAGTTCCAAACCAAGCAGAACTTTTTCTTTCTTTTCTAAAGTTTTTGATTACATGGAAATGTCCTGGGAGAGGTTTACATCACCATCTTTGCCCTTGCTTTGAAGTATTTATCATATCATCTTATGTGCTGCTTGGGGTAGAAAGTGAGAGGATTTCCAATTAGGACAGATGGCAATGAAAGCAGGTTTTATTTAGTAGAGTTGGTAACAGTTAAAACATTTGTCAGATTTTTGATGTCTTTGTCCTTCAAGGGAGGCTTTTGTCTATCTGTTTAACAGGACACCCAGATAGAAATAAAAACCTGAAGAAGTTTTTTCCCTCCATAACGTTATAAAAAAAGTAGTCTAGACATGTGCTGCCATTGACTTAGATTGAAAAAAAAAAAAAATCACACCTGTACATGCTTATGAATGTTAATGAACTATTCCTGGAAAGTAAGCCAATAAAAAAGTGAATTCAAATTTCAACTTGTACATTCGATGACATTTGATTTTTTTAAAATTATTATTATATGTTGGCCTTAAAGGTAATTTTAATGCTCTTTGTTCCCATATTAGGTGATATGATGACCTTGCTGATGAAAAAAGATACTTTGACCGAAGAGGAAACCCAATTTTATATTGCTGAAACTGTACTTGCAATTGATTCAATCCACCAGCTTGGTTTCATACATAGGGATATTAAGCCAGATAACCTCTTACTTGATAGCAAGGTAATACTATACCATACAGTCCTCGATTTTTGTCTCTGACATAAACAGATAAAGTCATATTCACCAAAATCACTCATGATTTGCTGTTGCATCATCAACAGAATAGCCAGAATCTTATTTCTAAGTTTAATATTTTTATTTTTTGTATAAATATAGTGTAGCTTGATGTTAAAATAATACTTTGCATGCTTAAAATTGAAAACCCGTAGATATGTATACAGTACATAAGTACAAATTGATACATCTATGTTCAGCAGTTTGGTAAGCATTTTGTTGCTGTTTTTTAGACACTTTTTTGGAAAGTCAAAAAGTCTAATGGGCTTTCTATGACTTTGGTAAGAAGATTTGTAAGCCTGCCAAACAATGACTAGATGTCTCCTTTGAGCTACAAGGAAGAAAAGTTTAGTATAAACCACTCCATACCCAGTTATGGCCCATTTCACTCTGGGATTGGAATAAGAAAGCTATGGCCCATCTAAAGTTAGGCAGTGTTTAGTGATCCTGGTGATGTACACAAAGCATTAGTCTGTCTTGTTCAGTGTTTGTGTATTGTGTTTTTCACTTAAAGAAAAAAATGTTCTCTCGTGCAGTGGGGCTGTGCCTGCACTGCATAGGTTAACTGCTAGTTTTGTCCAGGGGCACCCATAAAGGCTATACTTACCCGATTTGTCAATCCTCCAGAAAATTGTTCTCCCTTGCGTAATACAAAGGGTTTTTGTTATAGGATATTGCATTTTTCCAAATAATTGAAAATAATTTCATAAATTGGATAGAATAATTTTGTTGTGTCATTATTGGGGTAAATATTTCTTTCAATAATTTGGTTTTTTAAAGAAAATATTGGCAAAAAAGTATCTGTTAGCCTGTATTGTTTTAACAAAAAGTGGAAAGTCTTCCTTTTTTAGGTGTGGTTTTACAGATCTATAATTATCCTAGTAACATACTTATCTAGTCCAGAAAGTAGTGAAATCAAGCCCTTCATAACTATTATTATACAGAATTTATATAGCTCTAACAGTTTGCTCAGGTCTTTACAATATAAAGGGAGACAATACAGCAATGATACAGTGCAATACAAGAGGGTCCTTGGAGCTTCCAATCTAAGAGGGAGGGGCTGGTGGTACAAAAGGTAATAAATGTGGGGGGTGAACTGGTAGGAGGAAAGGAAGATTCTGTTATATAGCTGAAGGTGGGATAGGTCCCTGAAGAGATGGGTTTTCAGAGATTGCCTAAAAGTGGGCAGAGTAGGCGATAGTCTGATAGATTTGGGTAGAGAGTTCCAGAGGATGGGGAAGGCTCTGGAGAAGTCCTGGAGACGAGCATGGGAAGAGGAGACAAGGGAACTAGAGAGCAGGAGGTCGTGGGAGGAACGGAGAGTACGGTTTGGGTGATATTTGCAGACCAGATTGGTGATGTGATTTGGGGCAGAGTTACAAATGGCTTTATATGTTATTGTTAATGTTTTGAATTTTATCCATTGGGCAATGGGAAGCCAGTGGAGGGATTGGCAGAGAGGAAATCCAGATATGGAACAGTTAGTAAGGTGGATGAGTCTGGCAGAAGCATTCATGATAGACTGAAGAGGGGATAGCCTGCGGATTAGGTAGGCCAATGAGGAGGGAGTTACAATAGTCAAGGCGAGATATAACAAGGGAGTGAATAAGTTGCTTAGTGGTTTCCGAGGTTCGGAACAGCCGTATCTTTGAGATGTTACGGAGGTGAATTCCTACAAGATTTGGACAGTGATTGAATTTGGGGCTGAAAGGACAGATAGGAGTCTAGGATTACACCTAGTACCCTGGCATGAGGGGATGGACTGATTGTGTTATAGATCTTGATGGAGAAGTCAGGGGAGGGGGCATGGGCTGGAGGGAATAGTATGAGCTCTGTTTTGTAAAGATTTAGTTTGAGAAAGTGGAGTGACATCCATGCCGATATGTCGCTAAGTAGGTTAGTAATGCGAGAGGAGACTGAAGGGGTGAGGCGAGGAGTTGAAAGATAGATTTGTGTGTCATCAGCATAGGGATGGTGCTTAAAGCCATGGGAGTTTATCAAGTGACCAAAGGAGGAGGTGTAGATGGAGAAGAGAAGGGGTCCAAGGACGGAACCTTGAGGGACCCCTACAGAAAGAGGGAGTGGAGAGGAGGCGACAGAGTTATAGGTAACACTGAAGGAGCGCTGCGATAGGTAGGAGGAGAACCAGGAGAGAGCAGAGTCTCAGAGGCCAAGAGAGTGGAGTTTTTTGAGGAGGAGGGGATGGTCAACAGTATCAAAATCCGCAGAGAGGTCAAGTAGTAAGAGTACGTAGTAGTGGCCATCAGTTTTAGCAGTTAGTAGATCATTAGTGAGTTTTGGTAGGGCAGTTTCAGTGGAGTGTAGTTAGCGAAAGCCAGACTGTAAAGGGGTAAAAGAGAGAAAATGAACATCCAGAGGTTGTTTTCTGGCTAATTCCTTCCCAAAAGTATTATATTTGTAAACCACTGTTTGAGTACAGGATACTTCTAACACAGTCTACAAAAAGGATTGCATTCTCCAATCTTAAACCACTTCCCATCACAGTACATTGACTGCCTACTTCCGGGTCAGCTGATTGGCTGTGTCCAATCACACACACAGTTCTCTGTTTACCCTATTCTGTGTATAGGAAACAGCGATGTGGCTGTTAAAAACAGCCATATAGTAAAGTGAAGGCAGCACACAATACATATTGTTAGGCACACAATTAGCCCTTGATTGCCCCTGGATGTTAACCCCTTTTCAGTCAGTTTCATTAGTACAGTACAGTGTACAGTATTAGCACTGACCAGTGTATTAGTATCAGTATTGATGTCAGTTAGTGTCCCTCCCAGCCAGTGTCAGATTGATCCAGATTGCCCACCATAGTATCACAGTCCCTGTATACAAGTTGCTGATCACCACCAATACAAGTATTGCGTCATAGCTGCATAAATTGCAGTATATATACCATAATTTGTAGAAAAAGAATTGCTGTGGTCATGAAGGGGGTAAAACCTTCTAGAGCTCAAGTAGTTAAGCACCTTCAGCTATGCCATATTTATTGTATAAAATGTGCAGCACCTTGCTCCCTTTGAGTAATATTATAAATACATATATGTTTTAGTTTAGTTGCCTTGAATAATTTAGTTTTAACTTTTAGCCAAAAGTAATATATTTTTGTTCCTTTTACTAGTTCAGTTTGTGTTTTCTTTACTTACAAATAAATTCTATATCATTTATTCTATTAAAGTCATATATAGTTACAGTAAATGTTTGGTGATTTTATTTTTTTGTTATTTAAGGGACATGTAAAATTGTCAGACTTTGGATTATGTACAGGACTTAAGAAGGCCCATCGGACAGATTTTTACAGAAATCTGAACCACAGCCTGCCAAATGACTTTAGTAAGTATTGTTTTTTCTTGAAGTGTTAATTTTTATGCTGACATTCCCATTAGTACACTCTGTTCAGTCTATTCATTTTAACAAATTTGCTTTTACAGCTAGAAATGTGCTGCCTAGCAAAGTTGCTTTATTTCTACTTTTTTTTTTTTTTCAAAGTTTGTTTCTTCCATCAGTAGAAAGAGGCATGAAAATTTTGTTAAAAACCGTTATTTTTTAAATGGGTACCCGATTTTGACAGGTACCTACTCCCACTTCCGCTCCAGCTCCCTAGGACAGATGAATGGTTGTTTTTTTAAAGTCACCAGCTACAGTTTTTTTGTAACCGCTGACTACGCTTTAACCACTAGAGGGGGCAAAAACTCATTACCGTTGAAATACGATGTCTGTTGAATATATATATATATGTATGTATATATATCAGCGCTGAGCGAACTATTGGCGCTTTATGAATAATAATAATATAATAATAATAATATATAGATAGATAGATAGATAGATAGATAGATAGACTGCACATTGCCTTTAATGTGGTTCTGTGGGTTGATCTGTGCTTCGTTGGTTACTTTTTTTTTTTTTTTTTTCAAAGTTCAGTGAAACCTCCAACACACAAAGAGCCCTATTATAATAGCCAATTGGAAAGCAAATTCTTCTAGTGCGCAATAGGAGAAACAGTGTGGACAAAAGCTAACCACACAAATTCTGGTTGCTGTTTGCATAAGAAAGTACTCAGAAAAATGTATGCAGACAGAGAGGTACTCCTTGTACTGTATCAGAGGCGCCTGACTGTTGCCTATTTTACAAGCTATAACCAGCTCATAAGTTCGCTTTGCATTAGTGTGTTTTTCCGATTTTTTTTTTTTTTTTTTTTTTTTTTGCTTTTTAAACTTTTTTCACTTGATGTTGGATATGAAAATGTTATCTTTTGGAGCTTTTGTTGAATGGTAAAAAGTGTGGTGCTGTGGGGCAAGGTTGTTTTTTTATATTTATGGTCAATCTGGGTTTATGGAAGTTTTATAAAATTTACATAGAAAGGTAAAAGCCATCAGCAAAGACAGTAACAATAATAAAATACAAAACAGAAAATACAGAATTAGGTCTGGGTGGTAAGAATTAAAAGGGGAACACAATATCCACAGTAAACAAAGAGAGGGGAAAACAAATGAATAAATAATACGAAAAAAGTAAACACAAATAAACAATAACACCATGGAGCTATATGACGGCAATAATCAACGTCAAGTACAGAGCCCGCAGCCGTATATAACATGGCTTATACAGTATAGGCAAATCTAGGCCCAAAGGGGGTACAGACAGCAAAGGCAAGGAGATCAACAAATCAATATCAGAACTGTTAAAAGCTTTGCCATGCTGAAAACAGAGACCAGCCCAGGGGGAGAAAGGACGGGATGTACTAGCAATAGCCATCGCATTGTCCCATCCAGTCCAATGCCAGAGAAAAAAAAAAAAGGGGGTTGAAGGGGCGGGTTAGAAGGGATGGGGGAGCAAGAATAGCATCGCGCGAGAAAAGACACCCAGGGGAATAACAAACCAGTAGGGACCAGATAAAAAGAAGAGTCTCATTCAAGCGACCAAGAGGTCTGGTAAAGCAGAAGATTCTCTGTACATATTCCAGGGGAGCCAGGTCCGGTGACAGCATTCATAAGTGCCCGATTCTTATGCCAGGAGTGACTCCATACATTCAATATGATCCATTTCCCTCGACCTACTCTAGAAGGGTTGGAACACAGTGTGATCTCCAATGGCGAGAGATAGTCAGTCTGGCAGCAGTCAGACAATGACATAAAAGCCCACATTTAATATCTTTGAAAGAGACAGAGAACAGAAAGCAGAACAACCTGTGGCATATTGGGGACTGTCTGATCTGTAACCACGATGTAAACACGCAGGATGAGATCCCAGGTAGGCGTGGATAGGAGGACATTCCCACCAAACATGGAGCAAAGAACAAGGGGCAGTGTGACAATGCTAGCAGAGGTCAGGGGTGGAGGGGAAAATCCTGTGGAGTAGGGCGGGACATCTGTACCACCAAGTGAGCAATTTAACGTTGGTTTCCTGCATTTGCTGGCTAGAGACAAATGATGAGTAAGAGCAAATGACTTCGTCCAGTCCTCATCAGATATCTGAGCATCAATATCAGCGACCCATCTAGATGAGTATGGTGAGAGGTCGGGGTGGACTGTAGAGAGGAGGATCTGATATAGTGCGGAAAGGGGGCTCGGGAGGAAGATCTTGAAGGGGCAAGGATTCTAGAGGTGTAGGATCTCTGGTCAGCAGGTCTGCGTTGGAAAGGTACGTAGGAAAGAACAGAGTTGCCCGTATTCCATCCATTGGGCAAAAGAGGCCCGTCCCAGGACTCAGGGAGTTTGAAAAGGTGGGAGATGACCCCGGTGAAGTATTTGCGTCAGTATTTAGGGTAAGGTTTTAATAATTTTCATTCATAGGCACCTACAGTGGACTGATTTACTAAAGTTTAATTGCAGACTCGTACACTATTAAGATGCAGTGTATTCTTCTGTTGAGATAATTTGTGAACAAACATTGGTGAGTGGTGTGTTGAAACTTCCGTCTTGAAAATCTGTGGAGTGCTATTGTGCTCTGATGCTTTGGGTTGTTTTGGAGTTTGGATCCCCCAGTAGCCACTGTGGTTCATCCTGACCACCCCTACATTATTACAAGACCTAATTTTAAATTGCCTTTCTCATCTTTCATTTGTTCTAGTTTAGCTTTGCATGTCTATATGTATTTCCAATTTGAATGACTGAACTGGCGAATTTCACTAGAAGTGATGTATAAAAATGATTGTTGTAACCCTGGATCCGATTCTTCTAGTTTCTCTTTTCTCCATGTTTTTTTTCTGATTCCTTTTTTTTTTTTTTTTTTTTGGTCATTTTATGTTCTTTATCCTTTCTTCTAACCTTTTTTCTTTTCTCTTCTTTTTCCGGTACTATGTTGGATTACTGCTGCTATTATTTGGTTCGGCTTTTTGCCGTCCCTCCTTGATGTCATTGGACATTTTGTTATTTGGCTAATACAAGTCAGCAGCATGTATCTGTTTAAGTGTTATTGTTTTGCTCTGCCCCTGTGTGGGTGTGTCTTGAGCTTGTTTATGTTCTTAAAATAAAACTTTCTTAATAAAAATATTGAAACAGAAAAAAAAAAAAAAGATTGTTGTATGCTTTGCTTTTATGACCTTATTTAACAATAACAATGTAAATTTTTTGATCATTGCAGATTTTCAAAATATGAATTCAAAGAGAAAAGCAGAGACATGGAAGAGAACTAGACGACAATTGGTATGTTGACATCAATGTGAACTCATATTTTGCAAACTGCTCCTTTTATTTCTAATTTGAACACATATAAAACATATATTGTAAATGTACAATAAAATGTTTTGTCTTCTAAAGTCATATTCTGTTACAGGTCTGCCACTCTTTCTTAGAGCTAGTTTGGCCCCCAAAATGGCCAATGATAAAAATATATAGGATCGTCATAGGGCAACTTGACAAATGCTTAGAAATAACCGTTTGAACCAAAAATGTCACAAAGCCAGCAAAATCCACCGATACCAAAACCATGTGGCTTCATAGGTTTTTTGAATGCAAGAGCTGCCCAGACAAACAATTTCTAACCAGCTCCTGCAACAAAAGTAAAAGAATCGAGTTGCATAACCAGGTGGTGCCAACAGGGTCATCCATGCAACGGATTTCATTTGGTTCAGCAGGATTTGGCAGAGTTTTTTGTTTCCTGTATGAACATCTTTTCTTTTGCTTACCAAGCTGTGTACTAAGCTCTCCTGACCCCCTCCTTTGTAATGTTTGTTTGCTCCATGCTGCCTGTGCCAATAGATATGACAGTCCTTTTGTGTTTAACCGTTTCAGACCACCTGCCCGAAATATACTGTGGATGGGCGGCAGCTACAGGCAAAGCAACGTACGGGTACATCGCTGTGGCTGTACTAACACAGGGGGGCGCTGCGTGACTGCTTTGTCCAACGGACACAGCGGAATGAAGATCCCGGTGAATCTGTGATCACTGTCCGATCACATGATCACAGTGTAAGCAAAGCTGCTATGAATCAATTTTGTTCACAACAGCTCTGCTTCTCTTCCTAGTGAGCTGTGATTGGCCCACCGCTGTCACATGATATATGGGGCCAATCACAGCACCCTGTACCATGTGACCAGCTCCAGCCAATCACAGATCACGATCTTGAGCTGTCAAAAACCTAACTCATTCAGGACAGTTCATGAATGAGTTAGGTTCAAAAGTAAAAAAAAAAAGTTTTCTTTTCTTTTTTTATTTTTCAAAACCCTGTGACAAAAATTATGTCTGTAAAATACTCACAATGCCTCTTGTCACATTCCATGGGGTGCCTGCTTTCCAAAAAGGGGTCATTTGAGGGGGGTGTTTGTACTATCCTGACATTTTAGTGCCTCCAAAACTGTGATAGGTAGTGGGGAAGTGATATGAGGAAATATGCCGTTGAAAGCCTGGAGGTGGTCATTGGATTTTGGGGGTCTGTATGTAGCTAGGCTGCTAAAAAGTCTCTCACACGTGGTATCCCCATACTCGGGAGAAGTAGCAGAATGTGTTTTGGGGTGTTATTACACATATACCCATGGCATGCATGAGCAATATATCATTTAAGTGACAACTTTGTGTAAAAACCAAAAAAAAAAATTGTAATTTTCGAAAAATTTGTGCCAGAAAATAAAATGTTCCATGGACTCAACATGCCTCTGCTAAATCCTTGGGGTTTCTAGTTTCCAAAAAGGGGTCATTTGGGGGATGTTTATTCTGCCCTGGCATTTTAGCACCTCAAGAAATGTGATAGGCAGAAAGTAAAAGCTGGGGAAATTTCAATATTTATGCCATAGTTTGTAGACGCTATATCTTTCACACAAACCAATTAATATACACTTATTGGGATTTTTTTTTTTTACCAGACATGTAGCAGAATACATTTTGACCTAAATTTATGATTAACTTTGAGTTTATTGGATATTTTTTTATAACCAAAAGTGAAAGATATCGGGGGGTTTTTTTTCAAAATTTTCAGTCTTCTTTTTTTTTTTTTTCTGTTTATAGTGGAAAAAATAAAAACCCGCAGAGGGGATCAAATACCACCAAAGGAAAGCTCTATTTTGTGTGAAAAAGGGACATAAATTTTGTTTGGGTACAGCATTTCACAACCGCGCAATTGCCAGTTGAAATAGTGCAGTGCCGAACAGCAAAAAATGGCCTGGTAATAAAGGGGGGGTGATTCTTCCGGAGGGCAAGTGGTTAGGTCTTCCAAAATTTTTACTAGCACAATGATATAAATTGCAGTAGCCCCCTGTGTATGGAATTATTAGAGGAACTTCACAGTGGCCTGTCTTCACTGTTACATATATTATATATCTGGTGCCCTAAGGGCTAGTTCAAATTAGATGCAGTCCAGTGCGCTTTTTTTTTTTTCAGCATTAAAAATGTATGCACAGTGTTTTCCATGTATTCCAACGGTCCTAGTTCACACCAGTGCAGTCAGCTCCAGTCATTTTCCGGTGCAGAAAAAAAAAAAGAACATGCTGCATTTGTTTTCTGCACAGAACTGTACTGTAACATAGCAAACTGCATAACAACTGAGCAAGAACGGAGTGTGGTGTGTGAACTGTGAGCAAAAAATGCATCCAGAGTGCGTTTTTATGGTGTGAACTGGCCCTAATAGCTTCCATTCCACACAATATTGTCTATTTAATATAATTTACCTTTATGTTTTTTATTTTTATGTTTTGTTTTTTAGGCATTCTCTACTGTGGGTACTCCAGATTATATAGCACCAGAAGTATTCTTGCAAACTGGCTATAATAAATTGTGTGATTGGTGGTCACTAGGAGTCATAATGTATGAGATGTTGATCGGTAAGACATGTTTTTTGATTTGCCTTTTCTGGAATGCATTGTAATTGTCTTACTTATCTTCCAGAGCCTTTTCTGTCATGGTCACCTTTTATACTTGTAAATGTATTTTCGTAAACCGCAAAATCTGCAAATCTGTGGATTTATTTTCAGCTCATATTGTGCACATTAAATTGGTTCAGGATAAACAAAAGTCTGGTGCAAAATTAATAAACATTCCTATTGTCTAATGTATTATTTATGGCCGATGCTTGCGTCACCCTTTTTTACTGCACTTTTGTTTTTATTAAAGGGAACCGGTCCAGAAGGGCATATGGGAGAAGCCCTTACTGGCATGTTTTGGAAGGTATAAACTACAAATCTGTCAGCACTGGAGTTCTCCCTGTTCAGAACATGTCAGCTATGCCAGCTTCCATATTCATTCCTGACTGGTTCCCTCTAATCTGTATCTTTAGTGATGCTGTACTAAATAGGTCTAAAATGAATGCTTATTTTACAACTTTATCTAGTCAACAGTTGATTAATAAATGTTTGTATGTTTTTTGAATCTGTGTTCTTAAAGAGGCACTGCCATCAGGTAACACTTTTCTGTCTGCTCACCATCATAGAATGCTTGAAATTAGCATTTAAAGTGATATTAAAGGTAGATTTTTAAAAAATACCAAACATGTCTGTACTTACCTGCTCTGTGCAGTGGTATTGCCTAGAGCAGCCCCGATCCTCCTCTTCTAGGGTCCCCCGCTGGTGCTCCTGGCCCGTCCTTCCTGCCAAGTGTCCCCAGAGCAAGCAACTTCCTATGGGGGCACCCATGCAGGCTTGCTCCCAAGCCGCTGCTCTGTCTGTCCATATAGAGCACAGCTCAGCCCCCTCTCTCATCACTGGCTCACTGCAGCCACACTCAGTAGCTGTGATTGACAGTAGTGGGAGCCAATGGCTTCCGCTACTATCTCAACCATTGAGGAGGAAGAAACCCAGTAGAGTAGAGCTAAGATTCTCATGCACATTGCTGGATCAAGATAGAATGCATGAAGGTTAAAAAACCGGGAGCCTTTAAACCACTTTAATGATGCTGCACGTCCTATAGCAGTTATTTATATTTTTTGTCACTAAGCGCCCTGTAGTTTTCTTCACCCACTGACACTTTAGGAAGTGTCAGAGGCTGTTTGTAGTAGACCACATACTGGCCCTCATTTGAAACTTTCAACACCTGAAAATGTGTGTGGGAGCCTGCACATTATCAGTGACCATAGAGAGTTGTGGTGCTTGGTACAGGCAGACAAAACTCCAGCCTGTTTCCAGCTATCTCTTACAAGAGTTGGAGGATTTATAGACTGCAGCCTGGCATCTTGGTGGACCAGGAGGGAAGGGGCAGAGCAGGCTGAACAAAAGTATTAGAGAGTGAAGAAAATGACTTTGCTGTTACTGACAAAAGTTGTAATAAATTGCCTTACAAAGGCAGGGTCAGTAAGTGCTAATTAAATAAAAATATCCACCTGCGCTCCACAGACTCCTTAAATATAGCTAGCTGCTATCATCTACACCCTATACCATGGGACACACAAAATAAATATCAAATATTGGATGAAGCGCTCTGCTATAATAGTGCTATATACAAAAATCTAAATTTTATACACATATGTAAAAGTGACTGGTGCTTAAATAATATATGTGTTAAAATTATATAAAAAAAATTCATATAAGACCAGTCTGCCCCCAAGTAGCTAAAACTGGTTATACATGTGCACACACAAAATAGAAAGTGACCAAGTGCTTAGGTACATAAATAGTGTCTTAATAAATCTAAAATAAAAATCACAGTGAATAATCATAAAAAGTGCCAAGTGTTTAAATAACAATCAATATACATATAGTATAATCATGTGCAAAAAACATGCTATCACTCTTCTGTGAAAAAAAATATGTATATATATATATGTGCTTCTTCATTCAAATAGTGCTCAGACCAAAGTGTCACTCCAGTGAATCAATCCTAAATATCCAGAGTGCCTCCTCACCTCCAACATTCAACCCCTAGAGGTCACAAATCATTTATTTAAATGATGTTCCAAAAACGACACCAGGATATAATTTGCCCCACGATTCAAAATCTCAATATATATGATGCCTCAGCCATATGTCCATGGACCATGGAAGATTTAAGCACAAAGAGAGATCTCCATAGCGCAATATGTAGTTTTATTATAAAGAAAAAACAGATGGAAAACTCACATGCTCTTAGAAGTATACAAGCAGTTCCCCCATATCCTATGGGTATAATAGGAAATCGGAAGTGCATCACCGGAAGTGCGTCACCGAGCTCCACCTGGAAATGACGTCAATGAGCTCCAAGCGTTACACCACTGTCACGTGGCTTCTTCAGGATCACTCTGGATATTTAGGATTGATTCACTGGAGTGACAATTTGGTCTGAGCACTATTTGAATGAAGAAGCACTTTATATATATATATATATATATATATATATATATATATATATATATATATATATATATATATATATATATATATATATATATATATATATATTTTTATATATAATGTTTTAATTTTTTTTTCACAGAAGAGTGATAGCATGTTTTTTGCACATGATTATACTATATGTATATTTAATTGTTATTTAAGCACTTGGCACTTTTTATGGTTATTCACTGTGATTTTTATTTTATATTTATTAAGACACTGGATGTGCACACTTATGCAACCGTATTATTTTCGTTTTTTTATTTTTACTTCCCTCCACCTAAAAGATTTCAGTTTGTTGTTCAACTGAGTTGTACAGTTTATAAGTCACATTACCAGTTGGAAAAAGTTCTGAAATTATTTATCCTAAGCACTTGGTCACTTTCTACAGTAAGTGCTAATTGTAAGCATTTTGTCTATGTGAGCATCCAAAACATTTCTTGATGAAATTATTTCTTAAATGTTCATTATAGAACAGAAACTCCCCTTCTGCAGTGGATTCATATTTTCAAGTACCACTGGCTGCTGGTTTATCTACCTCCTCTAAAGTGAGATTGTGTATAGGAAACTGAAATGAATAGGTCGAGGGAGTAGCCCGGCAGTGGGAATGGATGCTTGCTGATGTCAGGAGTCCTGCTGCCATCACCTGATACTGGCCATATTCATGCATGTCCTGGCACCTGTATACCCTAGCTGGAGCTTCCTCTGCTACACTTCTGGCCCTACCAGAGAGTTCTCTCCTTTCTGCAGTAAGATTTATTCTAGGGCCCGTCAATCTGCCCTGTGCTTTCTTTCAGTTAATTACACCTCTGCATCTAGGTGGAGGTTTTGGAGTTCTCTCACTGGGCTTCCATGCCAACCTTTGCCTTTCCTCTTGAAATACCCAGTTTGTATTAGCAGTTGAAACTCATTAAGGGCTGCTAAACTTGATAGTGGTCAGGTCAGTGAATAGGGTGGGCAAGAGTTTCGGAAACTGTTTCGTTTGCCTGAAGCAAGTAGATTGTTTACTATTTTGCAGCATTCCTATGACAATTCTGTGCGCCGTGTGGTGGTCTGCTTTTAAACACACAAAGAATGTGATATTGTGAAATGCCTAAATATTTTATTGAAAGCTGTTGGTTTTAAAAGATTGTAAATTGCATTTGAAAAAACATATTAAAGATGATTTATTTAATGATTGGGTTTACATCCCCTTTAGCTGCTGATTATTTTGTTCCATGTATTTTTTTTTGTTTCTACTTGAAGCAAACCTGTCCTGTGAAAAATATGTATGCTGCTGTTGCTGACCTCTCCTTTGAAAATAAAGATTGCTTGGTTGTCATGCTTGTCCAACAGCTTCAGCGCTGTCTAAATCTTGTGGAAGTCAGTGATTCACACTGAATCACTAACTCAGAAAGTATTGAAGTTAGTCTATAATTTTTAGGAGCAGACCTTTTGACAGACCATATTTCTTCCAGTACAGGTCTACTTTAAATACCCCCCAACCTTTTAACTGCTACAAATTGTCATTTACAGTTCCACAGTACATCTTTGATCTCTACTAAATTTGTTGTTTTCTTTGCTTACACGAATCCTCTTTTATTTTAAAGGATATCCTCCGTTTTGCTCTGAGACTCCCCAAGAGACCTATAAGAAAGTTATGAACTGGAAAGAGACTCTTACATTTCCTCCAGAGGTTCCCATATCAGAAAAAGCAAAGGACCTCATCTTACGGTAACTGATACTGAGAAACAATGACTGTTACTTACCTGTATTTAGAAATTTAGATGTGATAATACTACATGATTATGTAAAAAAACTAGTGGTATTCCTTTTTTTGTTATATTTATTCTCCCAAGTGAGAGTTAGATCTTTCTGTTTCCACACTGTAAATACAAAATTGAACAGGAATTGATTAGTAGAGGTGTGTGTAATTTATAAACTATACCGCTGAATTGCCACATCCATAATAATGATAATACCATGAAACCAAAAAATAAATGTACAGTGGATATAAAAAGTCTACACACCCCTGTTAAAATGTCAGGTTTCTGTGATGTAAAAAAGAGACAAGGATAAATAATTTCAGAACTTTTTCCAACTTGTAATGTGACTTATAAACTGTACAACTCAGTTGAACAACAAACTGAAATCTTTTAGGTGGAGGGAAGTAAAAATAAAAAAAAACTAAAATAATACGGTTGCATAAGTGTGCACATCCTTAAACTAATACTTTGTTGAAGCACCTTTTGATTTTATTACAGCGCTCAGTCTTTTTGTATATGAGTCTATCAGCATGGCACTCTTCCTTGCAAAAACACTCCAAATCTGTCAGATTGCGAGGCCATCTCCTGTGCACAGCCCTGTTCAGATCACCCCACAGATTTTCGATCGGATTCAGGTCTGGGCCATTCCAAAACCTTAATCTTCTTCTGGTGAAGCCATTCCTTTGTTGATTTGGATGTATGCTTTGGGTCATTGTCATGCTGAAAGATAAAGTTTCTCTTCATGTTCAGCTTTCTAGCAGAAGCCTGACGGTTTGGTGCCAATATTGACTGGTATTTGGAACTGTTCATAATTCCTTCTACCTTGAGTAAGGCCCCAGTTTCACCTGAAGAAAAACAGCCCCAAAGCATGATGCTGCCACCACCATGCTTCACTGTGGGTACGGTGTTCTTTTGGTGATGTGCAGTGTTGTTTTTGCGCCAAATATATCTTTTGGAATTATGGCCAAAAAGTTCAACCTCAGTTTCATCAGACCATAACACATTTTCCTACATGCTCTTGGAAGACTTCTTATGTGCTTTTGCAAAATTTAGCCGGGCTTAGATGTTTTTCTTTGTAAGAAAAGTCTTCCATCTTGCCACTCTACTCCATAGCCCAGACATATGAAGAATATAATTGTCATACAGTGAGGAACAGAAGTATTTGAAAACCCTGCGATTTTGCAAGTTCTCCCACTTAGAAATCATGGAGGGGTCTGAAATTCACATCGTAGATGCATTCCCACTCTGAGAGACCGAATTAAAAAAAAAATTGAGGAAATCACATTGTATGATTTTTAAAGAATTTATTTGTCTTGCACTGCTGAACAGAAGTATTTGAACACCTGAGAAAATCAGTGTTAATATTTGGTACAGAAGCCTTTGTTTGCAATTACAGAGATCAAACGTATCCTATAGTTCTTGACCAGGTTTGCACACACTGCAACAGGGATTTTGGCCCACTCCTCCACACAGATCTCTAGATCTGTCAGGTTTCCGGACTGTCGCTGAGCAACACGGAGTTTCAGCTCCCTCCAAAGATGTTCTATTGGATTTAGGTCTGGATTCTGGCTAGGCCACTCCAGAACCTTGATATGCTTCTTATGGAGCCACTCCTTGGTTATCCTGGCCGTGTGCTTCGGGTCGTTGTCATGTTGGAAGACCAAGCCACGACCCATCTTCAATGCTCTGACTGAGGGAAGGAGGTTGTTGCTCAAAATCTCACAATAAATGGCCCCATTCATCCTCTCCTTAATACAGTGCAGTCGTCCTGTCCCCTTCGCAGAAAAGCACCCCCCAAAGCATGATGTTACCATCCCCATGCTTCACAGTAGGGATGGTGTTCTTGGGATGCAACTCATCCTTCTTTTTCCTCCAAACACAACGAGTGAAGTTTAGATGAAAAAGTTCTACTTTGGTCTCATATGACCACATGACTTTCTCCCATGCCTCCTCTGGATCATCCAGATGGTCATTGGCAAACTTCAGACGGGCCTGGACATGTGATGACTTGAGCAGGGGAACCTTCCGTGCAATGCATGATTTGAAACCATGACGGCGTAGTGTTCTACCGACAGTGACCTTTGAAACTGTGGTCCCAGCTCTCTTCATGTCATTGACCAGCTCCTCCCTTGTAGTTCTGGGCTGATTCCTCACCTTTCTTATCATCAGTGATACCCCACGAGGTGAGATCTTGCATGAAGCCCCAGTCCGAGGGAGACTGACAGTCATCTTTAGCCTCTTCCATTTTCTAACAATTGCTCCAACAGTTTACCTATTTTCACCAAGCTGCTTGGCAATTGCCCCGTAGCCCTTTCCAGCCTTGTGGAGGTCCACAATTTTGTCTCTGGTGTCTTTTGACAGCTCTTTGGTCTTGCCCATGGTAGTAGTTGGCGTCTGACTGACAGTGGGGTGGACAGGTGTCTTTAAAGAGCTCAGACAGGTGCTACTAAGTTAGATTAATGAGTGGAGTAGAGGTGGACTTCTTAAAGGCACAGTAACAGGTCTTTGAGAGCCAGAATTCTTGCTGTTTCTTAGGTGTTAAAATACTTATGTTCAGCAGTGCAAGACAAATAAATTCTTTAAAAATCATACAATGTGATTTCCTGATTTTTTAATTCTGTCTCTGAGTGGGAATGCCCCTACAATGTGAATTTCAGACCCCTCCATGATTTCTAAGTGGGAGAACTTGCAAAATTGCAGGGTGTTCAAATACTTCTGTTCCTCACTGTATGTACCACACAACCAGTACTTGCCAGATATTCCTGCAGCTCCGTTAATCTTGCTGTAGGCCTCTTGGCAGCCTCCCTGACCAGTTTTCTTCTCATATTTTCATCAATTTTGGAGGGACATCCAGTTCTTGGTAATGTCACTGTTGTGCCATATTTTCTCCACTTGATGACTGTCTTCACTGTGTTACATGGTATATCTAATGCCTTGAAAACGTTTTGTACACTTCTGCTGACTGATACCTTTTAACAATGAAATACCTCTGATGCTTTGGAAGCTCTCTGCGGACTATGGCTTTTGCTGTAGGATGCGACTAGGAAAATGTCAGGAAAGGCCTACTAGAACAGCTGAACGTTATTTGGGGTTAATCAGAGGCACTTTAAATGGCAGGTGTGTACTGACTCCTATTTAACATGACTTTGAGTGCTGAATTCTGTACACAGCTACATCCCCAGTTACAGGAGGGTGTGCCACATTATTTTAGTTTGTTTACCCCCCCTAAAAGATTTCAGTTTGTTTTTAAAATGAGTTGTACAGTTTATAGGTTACATGAAAGGTAGAAAAAGTTAGGAAATGATTTATCTTTGTCTCATTTTTTTACATCACAGAAACCTGACATTTTAACAGGGGTGTGTAGACTTTTTATATCCACTGTATAATGGACTCTACTGACAATGAAAGAGGGAATCTGACGATACTTATAAATAAATAGAATATAGTGTTTATTTACAACCATATTAAAACCACTTATCATTCAGGCTGAGCTATATATTTAAAACACTATGTGCATAATTTCATGAGCAATACAGCTACTGGCTCAATATTGCCACTATTAGTATAATACCATTACATAATTTGTCAGATAATTGTGTGGCTAGATCGAGAGTCCTCATGACTCAATGCATTTCTCTCTATTAGCTTCTTCAGGACGCTTGACAGTTCAGCAGCAATCACTAAAATATGCAAAAATGAAAAAGGCATCTATAATGTGTGACTATAATACAAAAACAATATGAATATAACAAACCAATAATGCTGTGTATTTCATACATTAATGTAAAAAAAACCTTATTAAGTATAAATACACGCATACAGCTTGTTAAATAAGTATTAAACACATCACCATTTTTCTCAGTAAATATATTTCTAAAGGTGTTTTTGCCATGAAATTTTCACCACATGTCAAACAACTCATGCGGTCCATACATTGCATGAAATTAAGTTCTGTGTAATAAAATGGAATGACACAGGGAAAAAGTACTGAACACGCTAACTGAAATGTATTTAATACTTTATACAGAATCATTTGTTGGTAGTGACAGCTGCAATTGCATTGCTCAGGTTTGATTTTGGCCCACTCTTCCACAGTCTACAAATCTTGCAGGTTCCGTTGGCCTCTTTTATGAACTCTGATCTTTTAGTTTTTTTCCATAGATTTTCTATTAGATTCAAGTCAGGTGATTGGCTGGGCCATTCTAGCAGCTTTATTTTCTTTCTTTGAAAACAATTTCCTTGGTGTTTGGGATCATTGTGCTGCTGAAATGTCCATCCTTGTTTCATCTTCTTCATCCCGGTAGATTTTTAGCAAGAACGTCTTGGTACATTTTTCCATTCATTCTTCCTTCAAGGATATGAGGTTTGCCAGTACCGTATGCTGAAAAACAGCCCTACACCATGATGTTCCCACCTCCAAACTTCACTGTTCGTATGGTGTTTTTGGGGAGATGTGCAGTGCCATTTGACCTCCAAACATGGTGTGTATTATGGCATCCAAAGGGTTCAGTTTTGGTCTCATCTGACTAAACTATATTCTGTCATTTAAAAAGACTTGTCTAAATGTTGTGCAGCAAACTTTAAACGAGCTTCAACATGCTTTTTCTTCAACAATGGAGTCTTGCGTGGTGAGCGTGCATACAGGCCATGGCGGTTGAGTGCATTACTTGTTTTCTTTGAGACAATTGTACCTGCCATTTCCTGGTCTTTCTGAAGCTCTCCACAAGTGGTCCTTTCCTTTTGGACAACTCTTCTAATAATTGTTTTCACTCCTCTGTCAGAAATCTTGTGAGGAGCACTTAGGCATGGCCAATTTATGGTGAAATTATGGTCTTTCAACTCCTGGATTATGACCCCAGTAGTGCTCACTGGAACATTCAGAAATATAGAAGTCCTTTTGTAACCAATGCCATCGGTATGTTTTGCCACAATAATGTTTCAAAAGGAAACACAGCGGGGTGCCAGGTCAGCCTGAATTAAAATAGAACTTTATTCAAGAGGCACTTACATGTAAATACATGTAAATACTCTACAGTCAGTATCCTGATTCAGTGCAGTTAGCAAAGACAGCTCTCTCTTCAGAGTGCTGGAGCCGACAATCGCTGTAGGGAGTGGGGAGAGACCCCCTGGAGGTGGAGGTACACGGCGTCCCTCCATGTGCTCCCGCCAAATGGCCGTGGTGTCTGACAGGTGCCGTGAATGACCAGTAGGCGGGCCGCAATGCGTTTCCGAGGCTGCGCCTCCTTTATCAATCAGGATACTGACTTGTAGAGTATTTACATGTAAGTGCCTCTTGAATAAAGTTCTACTGTTTTCATTCATGCTGACCTGGCTGCCTGATGTGTTTTCTTTTGCATGTCTTCTGAGTGATCCCCCATCCTTGGCAAGGAGCTTCTGGTGATTGTGTGTTTTAGTCTTCATTGCCCACACCTTTCCTCATTCAACAACCATTTGGAAGGACTGATCATTTCATACATGATATCCTCTGCATAATTGCAAGTTTGGCTACATTGTATTTGGTTACAATTGTTACTATTTATATGGACCTGTTTATAAGTTCATCATTCATACCACATTCTATCATCATCTGAGCGCTGGATATGCTTGGAATTTTTTACAAGGCTTTATACACACAATAAGGTTGCGAAGGTCTTGAGAAAGCTCTTTGCTTTTACCCATCATGAGATATTTCTTAACAGCTTGGTAATGAGACCTCTTTTTATAGGCCATCATTTGAGATTGAAGCAGCTGATATTAATTTGCAATGACAAGGGGCAGGATTACTTTCTAATTACTGATAGATTTCAGCTGGTGTCTTATCTTTCTATGCCTTTTTGCACCTCCCTTTCTTCATGTGTTCAATACTTTTTCCCTGTGTCATTCCATTTTATTACACATCATTTCTGAACTTATTTGTTTTGGTTTCTTCACATGTATGGATTGCATGGGTTGTTGCCAACATGCGGTGAACACTTCATGCCAGTAGCACCTTTAGAAATATATTTACAGAGAGAAATTGTGATGTGTTCAGTACTTATTTTACCCGCTGTAAGTATAGTATTATGTCATGGGACTGTACAATGTTCTCACTGCAGTGTGCCTGTAGAGTAAAATTTGAGCTGTCCATATATTTTTGGCAGGTTGCTCATTAAAAAAAACACCCCATGAATGGGTTCACACAAAGACAAAAAAATGTTAACATTGCCACATATAACTGTCAGAAGGTATGTATTCATTTTATATAAATGTTTTGTGGCGCAGGGTATTTAAAGAAAAAAAGCAAGAAAAAAACATGGCTACTCATAGCAATTAGAATGTCGATATATATTGTGTATTTGTCTAATAATGGAATGAGGAAATATTTCTGTATGGCACGTTTTCATTATGTTGTATTCTTCCAGTTTCTGCTGTGAGTCAGAGCAACGAATTGGTGCTTCTGGTGTAGAAGAGATCAAATCTAACCTTTTCTTTGAAGGTGTTGACTGGGAACACATTAGGTAAGTCAGGGCTCAAAATTTCAAGTCCTGAGCTACTAGCAAGGCCTTAAGAGTTACTTGCCACCTGTTGCCCCACCCAACCCCTACCATTCCTTGCCCCTAATTTCGCCCCTAAACATGCCCTCGTAAATTATCTCATGACATGACACTGTTAAATGTTTTATGCATTATAAAGTTGCAAAAATAAATATTAACAACAACAACTACTTTAACCACTTGCCTTCCTGAGGATTTTCCCCCCTTCCTGAGAAGTCCATTTTTTGTGTTACGGTGCTGCGTTTGTTTGATGGACAATTGTGCGGTCATGCAACGCTGCAGCAAATTAAATTTACAACCTTTTTTTTTGCCCATGAATTGAACTTTCTTTCGGTGGTATTTGATCGCCTGTGCGTTTTTTAGTTTTTGCGCTATAAAAAAAAAAAAAAAAGACTGACAATTTTGAGAAAAAATTATTTTTACTTTTTGCATGTCCATTAAAAATCCATTAAAAAAACATGTCCAGTAAAAAATCTAATTTCTTCATAAATTTAGGCCAAAATGTATTCTGCTGCATATCTTTGCTAAAAAAAATATCACAGTATGTGTAAAATTATTGGTTTGCATGAAAGTTATAGCGTTTACAAATGGCGGTATATATACTGGAAGTTTTTGTTTTTCATTTTTACTAGTAGTGGCGGCGATCAGCAACTCATAGCGGGGCTGTGGCAGGCATTCTGACACTGGGGTGAACTGACTTGGCACTGGCTGGCGGCACTGCTGAGTGCAACTGATGGGAGACACTGCTGGGCAACCCTTTAGGGCACTGGTTATCAGTGCCCTGATGATCAGTGCCAATCTGCTCTGTGACAGCTGCCGGTTATGACAGCGTAAGGAAAGTGCTGCCAATAACTGGCAACTGTATTTACTCCATGATCTGCTGAGTAATTGGACACAGCTGATCACGTGGTGATTGGCCTTGTACCTCATCAGGTGATCAGCTGTGTCTGTAGGACACAGCGATCATGGAGATCGCAGAGGGCGCACCCCTGGGGGGGCATTTTGGGAGGACATTATATGATGCCCTCCCAGAACTGGGTAACCGCGCTGTAGACATCATTTAGCTATAGCGCTGTTACCAAGTGGTTAAATGTATATGTAATTGGTTTTCTGTTTTTAACTGTTATGGTTACATAGTTTATTTTCTTTAAATATTTTTTTACTATTTCATTTACAGGGAGAGACCTGCTGCTATTCCTATCGAAATAAAAAGTATTGATGACACTTCAAATTTTGATGAATTTCCAGATTCAGATATTCTTAAACCAATGGGTAAGTTTTAGATAATCTCAAGTGAATTTGTAGTGCAGTTATTAATTTTAGGGCCTCTTTTTCCCCATTTTTCTATAACGGAAGGTACCTAAAGTAGTTTAAACCCTTCCATATACCCAGTGAAGTGACTAGCCTCAGATGATACACACAGAGGAAACAAATCCTCCTACTTAGGTTGTACCTGTCTATTTGCAGCCATTTGTTATATATATTCTTCTACAACACAAAATCTGGCAGCTCAACTCAGCAGCACAAAGCAGGAGGCTGGGATCTGAATTCACACAGTGCACAGCTAAGGGAGAAGAACTCCTAAACCTGATAGAACAGCGGTGATGCACTGCCCTCCTCACTCTACACAGAGAACAAGCACAGCTGTGAATATCACATCCCCATCACTTAGGAAAAGCTGTCAGATGAGAGTCATGCTGATAACAGAAGAACCAGGAAGCAGAGAGAAATGAAACTGGTAGTTTTGTAGAGAGGCAAGTACACAATATTGAAGGATGTGCTTTGTTCAGATTTCATGTCTGAGGTTTACAACCATTTTACAATGTAGGTCTTCAGTAATTTTTGCTGTGCAGTGTCTTCAGTCATGTACCTCATCTTCTCCACATGCATGGTGTGAACTTGGCTCACTAAAATGGGAAATATTGGAAGAGTTGCTGGTCCAATCACATCTTGAGTATGCCATCCAGTTCATGTTACCCGCCCTCAGGAAGGATGTGCTGCAATGGGAGAGAGTCCAGAGAAGGGCAACAAAAATAATAAGGGGACTTGGGGACCTCAGTTACGAGGAATGACTACAAGCATTAAACAAATTCTTCTTAGAGAAGAGACGCTTGAGAGGATATATGATAGTGAAATATAAATACCATAAATGGTTATTTTAGCATAGGGAAAAAAACTATTCCATTTCAGGGAGCTTGAGAAGACACGTGGCCACTTGGAGGAGAAGCGGTTCAACCTTAAACTGCGTAGGGAGTTCTTTACTGTCAGAATGGTAAGGATGTGGAACTCGCTTCTACAGTTGGTGATTTCAGAGGGAATTGTCAATAGTTTTTAAAAAAAACTCTTAGATGGGCATCTTGGTGAACGCAATGAACCGGGATATGGAAAATGATATTGACATAAACACACATCCACACCCACACAGGTTGAACTGGATGAACTGGTGTCTTTGTTCAACCTTATTAACTATGTAAAGATATACTGGGGGATTGTGTATTCATGCTACTAAATTTTCCACACCTATGTAGACATGGCCATTCAAATCCCGAGGCAAGATTTGTTTCCCGTATTTATGGCTTACCATGAGATTCTCATATTCTCTGCACTGCTGCTTCTCTTTGAGTAACAAACAAAGGGTTAGGGACAGTTTTGCAGTGCAGGAAAGCCAGGGAATACTCTTGAGCATATTTATTGCACTGGATAAAATTTCATGCTGCCTTAGTGTCACCTTAACAGTTCTGATTTCAATGGAGGCATACTCCTGGTCTGTGACTGAAGCCAGTGATAGGCAGGCAATTAGCATCTTTAGGAGGTCAGCAACTGTAGCCTCCATATTTCTCTCAGTAACAAATCTGTCTAATTTTCTTTGTAAGCAAATTTGTTAAAAGACAAAAAAAATCTAAATATTAGTTACTAGTTACTATACTGCAGTAGTCCCCAGACTGTGGCCTGGGGGCCATATGCGGCCCTTTGCATGTTTTTATCCAGACTTTGGGATACTATTTTCATCCACTGATACCAACAATGGGACATAATTCCCCTCACTGACACCAATGAAGAGGCATAATTCCTTCCAATGACACCAAAGATGGGGCACAAATCCTCCCAATGACACCAACAATGGGGCCCAGTTCCTTTCAATAATACCAACAATGGGGCACAATTCTTCCCACTGACACTAATGATGGGGTACTATTCCTTCAATTGATACCAAAGGTGGGGCATAGTTTATTCCCACTGATGTCAGGACCCTTTCTATTCACAATGGCCACAGTCTGCCCCCCCTTAAGTCAGAAGGATCGTAAACTGGCCCTTTGTTTAGAAAGTTCAGAGACTCTTGCTATACTGTTTTTCTATTAAATTCTCTTGGTTCAATTTCTTGTTTAAGCAGCAATGGGGATGATTGTTTGTTTTGACCTCTCACAACCATCTTTTCCTCAGGTGCAAGCAACCATCCTGAGTCCGACTTCAAGAACAAGGATTGGGTCTTCATTAACTACACATACAAGCGCTTTGAAGGACTAACGGCTAGAGGGGCACTTCCAACCTTTATCAGACCACGGAAATAAATCTTTCTATACTGTGACACAAGTGCTCACCTATTAGTATTTTTAACTTGGTTGCCTTAGGACTCTGGCCTGTTTTGGTGCTTTTTCTAACGTGACTGTATGCACCACTGGAAAGTTTTCTACTTCCATGCCTTCTTATGTCCTAGCCTTTATCCTCTGGAAAATGCCATAAACTCTTATTTCACCATCAAAGGGATTAGTCTTGCACAACTACTTGTTTTTAATCTAGTCTCACATTCAAGACGTGATCTGTGATCATGTGACTGCCTCTACCATTCCTGGTCACCTTTACAAAATGATGTATCATTTGTATTCTACTTATTCTTTGCAGTCCAGTGTAAATTTATTCCCCAATGGAAGATTCTTTTGGTACTCCAGATATTTGATTCACATTTGTCTGACGCTAAGGCCTCTGCAGCTTTAAGAGTCACTCTCAGCACCAGCAGCATCATGCACTTTGTCCACATCAGACTGTGTCTGCACCAGTTTGGATCGGCATACTTGTTATTCCAAAAGACAAACTCTAGACTGTTTCAAGAACATGGAGCCCAAACTATTTATTTAGCTTTTTTTCTATGTTGATTTCTAGGACACATGTTTGTAAAATAACCGTGAAGAAAATTTGAATTTTTCTTACCTTGCATTTCTTTTTCTATTTGTAATTTGCTTTGTGGAATTTCAAGTGCTTTAAAAATAGCACCGAGGCAAACTCTGCTTTATATTTGGTATTTTTACAGCATTAAACTATTGTATGCACTTTTTGCCTTTTTCATGAAAGGTGCGATGGAACAAATCAGCATGTAAGAGTACTTCATATTGAATATTACTCTATTTATTACATGTGCGGAGAGGTTGGGTATTAAGGGGAAACTGCAGATTCTACCAAAAAATACAAAAGTGCCTGAGCCACCACTCTTTATTGTATATGTTGTTAAGCAATTGAAGCTGTAAGCAGATTTAAATTAAAGCATGCATGAGGGATCCATTTGTTCTGATGTTAGTAGCATTCGATCTGTACACTTTGTCCTCTGTTTTTTGTGATTATAAAACTCGTTCTCCTGGAATTCTGTTTTCGGCTCATAAAAATATTGAGATGTAGGCAGAAATTGTGCCATTCTTCTTGAGCAGATATGCGCAATTCTATGCAGGGCAAAGATTAACTTGGCAGAGGCTTGGCTACAATGTGAAAAAAAAAAAGCGAAGGATTATTTCTTTATCAACTGTAATCATTAAATAATCAGTAGGCTCAAGAAAAAATTAAAGTTAAATATAGACAAACACTTTAGGGCTCATTCATACCAGCAGGAGCGTGTTAGGGCACATATAATGCATACCCACTGGTGTGCATTTCTGCATGCATTGTTGTCACTGCATTAAATCTATGCACAGCAGAACATTGCTATGCATTATAGCACACCAGAATGCACTGCACAGAAAAATGTCCTATTTTTTTCAGCACACACCCATGCAGCATGTTGGTGTGAACTGAAGCAGTAAGATATAATGCAAATTGCCTTGTCTATCCGTAGAGCAATGCAAATCAACAGGGCTGTTGTGATCGAACTCTAGGGTGATGCTATCACCAAATAATATATTGCAGGCTGAATATATGATTAGAATGTTTTAGGGCTCATTCACTCCAACTGCCACAAGTTAACACCTTGACGCCGACGTAACACAAATATGCGGCCTCACAGAACTGGGCTTTTTTACATGGGGCCGCATATTTGCGTACTTGTCAAAGGCCGCGGTGTCACTGAGAGCACCAGGTCCCGTTCAATCGATCGGGACTCCTAATTCCGGGTCACATGATAGCTGTGATAGCCTCTGATTGGCTATCACAGTGATCAGTCACTACAGCCCGGCCCCCTTGTTTTTTTTTCTCTCTCTATGAATGGAGGAGAGAGATGCATTGTATCTCTCTAACTCCTGGCAAAGAGGGAAAAAATGTTTGTAATTTAAAAAAAAAAAAAAAAAAAAAAAAAAAGATAAATATTTTTTATATTTATCTTTTTTTTTTTTTTTTTTTTTTTTTTTTAATTACAAACATTTTTTCCCCTCTTTGCCAGGAGTTAGAGAGATTAGAAAAGAAAAAATACCTAGATCAAGGTTTGATCTAGTTCAGTGCCAGGGTTAATGTTTGGGTCAAGGTCAAAGGTCAGGATTAGAGGAGTTAGAGAGATTAGAAAAGAAAAAATACCTAGATCAAGGTTTGATCTAGTTCAGTGCCAGGGTTAGTGTTTGGGTCAGGGTCAAAGGTCAGGATTAAAAAAAAAAATAAATAAATTGGTAATCGGTGTCAGTGTCAATGTGTTTTAGGTAAAAAAAAAAAACAAAATATGCACTATTGCTTCTGGGCTGTACTACAGGTACAAACAACAAATAACATACACATATATGCTATCGCTGCAATAATCATGAGCTGGAGAATTTATTTTGGGTTGTTCTTTGGTGGTAGGTTATGGTAGTAACAAGAAACACACAGCTAAATAAAAAAAATGGGTTTTTTTTTTGTTTTACTATTTTGGGGCAGTTTTCCTTTGATGATAGCTCGAGAGGAGAGGAGAGGAGAGCTGGTAATCAGCTTTCTGCGGAGGGGACACGTTCACAGATCATCAGGGCACTGATGATCAGTGTGCCCTGATGATCAGTGTAGCCCCAGCAGTGCCACCTGTCAGTGTCCATCAGTGCCTTGTGTCAGTGCCAGTGCCCATCATTGCCACATATCAGTGCCTGCCAGTGCCCATCAATGCCACATATCAGTGCCCATCTGAGCTGCCTTTCAGTGCCACCTATCAGTGCGCATCAGTGATGCCTGTCAAAGCCCATCAGTGCCACCTATCAGTGTCCATCAGTGCAGCCTATCGGTGCCCACCACTGCAGCCTCATTAGCGTATATCAGTGAAGGAGAAAAATCACTTATTTACAAACTTTTATAACAAAAACTAAGAAAAAACGTTTTTTTTTTCAAAATTTTCAGTGGTTTTTGGTTTGTTTAAGAAAAAAAAAAAACCCAGCGGTGATTAAATACCACCAAAATAAAGCTCTATCTGTCACAAAAAAATGATAAAAATTTCATATGGGTACAGTGTTGTATGACCGTGCAATTGTCATTCAAAATGTGACAGCGCTGAAAGCTGGAAATAAGTGCCCTGTAGGCTAGTGGTTAATAGCAAAAAGTCCAAAATATTGTTTTGGGGTTTTTTTTTTTTCAATATTGTCGGTCTTTTTTTGCTTATAGCGCAAGAAATAAAAACTGCACAGGCGATCAAATACCACCGAAACAACTCAATTAGTGGGGAAAAAAGAACGTATATTTAATTTGGGTGCAGCGTTGCATGACCTCGCAATTGTCAGTAAAATTAATGCAGTGCTGGAATGCAAAAAATAGCCTGGCTATGAAGGGGGGTAAAATCCTCAGGAGGGCAAGTGGTTAAAGGAAACATACTTGCCTGCTCTGTGTAATGGTTTTGCATAGAACAGCCCCAATCCTCTGCTCGGTTCCCCTGCTAGCACTTATGGCCCCACTCCTCTCTGAGTGTCCCTAGGGCAAGTGCTCCGGAGCTGGCTCTGTCTATGGGACACACAGGGCGTGGCTCAGTCCTACCACCCGCTCCCTCTTCACTGGCTGTGATTGACAGCATTGGGAGTCAATAGCTTCCACTGCTGTGTCTCAGCCAGTGAGGCGAAAGACCAGGGAGAAGCCATTGCTGGCATGCACATCACTGGATTGAGATGGGGCTCAGGCAAGTATTTAGGGGAGCTGCACACTGAAGGTTTTTTATTCTTCATGCATAGAATTGAAAGTAAAACTTTCAGCTTTTAAAATTACTTTAAACTGTAAACCAAATCAAATGTATATGCATGTCCTTTAAAAATGTTTTACTATTTTAGGTATACAAAATAATTAAAGAATAATCTAGAATAAGTCTAGTTAACTGATGCATGCTGGTACTGCTAAATTTGACTTGGGCATCTAGGAATCACTGACTGTTAGACATTAAAGGGTTAATCTCCAGATGTGTCTGAGGACAGCAACTGATCTAAATCCCCATGACCTTGGGATCACCAGTGCTGCTGGCCACTGTCCCTGAAGACTTGTCTTTCATAGTCTGTGGCTGATCTCAACACAAGCAGAGTTTCCAGTTTAGCACCCAAACCACTCAAACTCTGCCTGGATTTATTGTTAGAATGTGTTTAATCTGTGCTGTCGCTGGCAGGCGCACAGACTCTGAACTGTGATTACAGCAGATTACAGGAGCACAAGGTCCAGTAGGGAGGTTTGGGTTAGCTGTTGCTCTAAATGGGAACTTGCAGAAATGTCGGAGGTTGAAGAGAACTTCAGAGCAGTTTACACATAAACTGGGAAACTGATTACCAGGATAAAGAACTTGAGCAAGTGCTACTTTCATACTTTACTGATATTATATTCACCTGTCAATGTGCAATTTGGTTGACGGGGTCACTTTCAGATCTCAGACAAAGAATATTTTCCATGGTTTTGAGATGTAGTTAAAAAATAATAAAAAATGAGAATAAAATACTTTTTATAGTTACCTTTCTGGTAGATTTAATTGATTATTAACTGCTCATGGTCTTGTATGTTGTATAATATACACTTTTGGATTTCCTGTTGGAACTTGACGAAAACCCAGCATCACATGCATAACATTAGGCATATTTACTAAAGCAGAAAGTGAAGTGACTGATAGAAGCAGTCAGAATTCATCTTTCAGTGCTATGTCTGCAAAGGTTCTTTCTGTCCAGGTCATAGTATAGCTAGTAGTAGTTAGTAACATTCAAGTGGAACTTCAAAAAAGTCGACTGTGACCATCTACTAGTAGTAATGTTTGTACTGTGAAGGATACATAGAATACTAAACTTTGCACATCCCAATGGTCATCTGCATTGCCATAACAAATCCCTATTTTTGGTATACTTTTAAGCAGCAGTGGCTTAATAGGTTTTTTTTTTTTTTTTTAACTCATATACTCTTTAGT